GGAGGGGCCCGGGTTTCTGGGGGCTGGTTTCCGCTTACCCCCCCAGCCAGCTTGGGAGCTAGGAGTCCCGTAACCAATGCCCTGGGATACCAGTCGGAGCCTCCTGAGTGGCCAGCCTCCAGTTGTGCCACCAAGAGCACTGGTTGCAAATAGCTGCCCCACGTTTTCCCATCTCCCCTTCCACCCAGGCTGGGCATGGCGTCCCCCATGGCTTCCTTCTGAGCAGTCCCCACAACGCCCACATGTATCAGCTGACCCTCCTCAAAAAGAACTAACTCCCAGTTTTCCATAACGTCATGAGGACAGGGCAGACTGCATCTTTCTCTCCTCTTCACCAGCTCTGTCACCCTGGGCCAGTCACTTTATCTCTTTGAGCCTCTGTTTCCCCGTCTGTAAAGTGGGAATAATGGAGGGCCCTGCTTCAGGGTTGCTGTAGCATGTTAGTGAGATAGGAGTTGTGTCCATGTCCAGTTACTGTTACTCTTGCATCCTTTTCTGGGGCTTTAGGAGGAGTGAGCCTGTACCTCTGTCCTGGGTCCACCTGTGGTGGCCCAGTCATGCCCCCAAGTCCACAGTGGGCACATTTCCCAGGGCAGGGTGGGGGGAAGGCCCGAGCATGCCCCCAAGACCAACTAACCCCCCAGGCCCTTCGCTCTCTGCCTCTGCCAGGCCCTGTCGCTAAAGGAGTCTGAGAAGACGGCGCTGACGGAGAAACTGGTGGGTACACAGCACAGCCTGACCGCCATCTCCCTGGAGATGGAGCGACAGAAGCGAGATGCTCAGAGCCGGCAGGAGCAGGACCGGGTAGGTGGGCCTCCGTCTGAGCCGGAGACACAGCCCTGCCTGGAGGAGCCCCTGTCTGAGGGGGAGGCGTGGCTCTGCCCTGGGGAAGCCCCAGACTGTGTGGGAAGCTTCAGCCCTTCCCTGGGAGTCCCCATGTGAGGGAGGTAGCACGGCTCTGCCCTAGGGAACCCCTAGTCTGAGAAAGACTAGTCATGTAGACAGCACTCTCTAGCCATCAAGGGATCACGGAGGGTCTGGCAAGCCAGCGGGAGGGGCCGTGCTTGGTGCTGAAAGTGGGGTGCTGGGGAAGGGGACACAGCACCATCTGAGGAGCCCATCTGTCCTAGGGCACCATGAACACCCTGACATCCGAGCTGCGGGACCTGCGGGCCCAGCTTGAGGAGGCTGCCGCGGCCCATGCTCAGGAGGTGAAGAGGCTGCAGGAGCAGGCCCGAGACCTGGGCAGGCAGCGGGAATCCTGCGTGCGCGAGGTGAGCCCTCCGCCCCACACCCTTCCAGGCAGCACCCCCTAAATGCTGCTGGGGGCCTGGTTCGGTGAGGGTCCAGAGAAATGTAAGGCTCTTTCCTGCATTCAAGGGCAAATGAACAGCCAGCTGAGAAAGGAGGCAGCAAGCATGTATTAAGTACTTGTGATGTACACGTGGGACTGGGTCACTCAAGGTGGTCCCTGCCCTTTCGGCATCGTCCAAGGATGATCCTGATTATTTCAGACCCAAACACTGCTGACTCCAGCTTGCTTTGCCCGAATCATAACTCTCGCCTGTGGTCTGAGTCTATGCAGAGTGATGGGGCAGGTGCCCCCTGGCCTGGGACCTGGGGATGGGCTGGTTTCCACCAAGGCCCCGCTTGAGTGGGGCCCGACCCCCGTCCAGTGACAACCAGGGTCCTCACAGGCAGAGGAGCTTCGGACTCAGCTGCGCCTGCTGGAGGATGCCCGTGATGGGCTGCGGCGGGAGCTGCTGGAGGCCCAGCGCAAGGTACGAGAGAGCCAGGATGGCCGTGAGGCCCAGCGGCAGGAGGCGGCCGAGCTGCGGCGCAGCCTGGGTGAGGGCGCCAAGGAGCGCGAGGCCCTGCGGCGGTCCAACGAGGAGCTGCGGGCTGCCGTGAAGAAGGCCGAGAGCGAGCGGATCAGGTGGGGAGACAGGAGGGACCAGCCCGGAGTCCTTCACTGAGCCCTGGCCTTCACACTGAATTTTGTCCCTGGAAGCTAACGGCACCCCCAAGGTTCAGGGGAAATGGCACAGGTGGGGGGTTTTTGCCCTTGAACCAAGCCAGGCACTGATGGAAGGGGAAAGGTGGCAGCAGGCAGGGTTGGGTCCAGACTCCGACTTCCACCTGGTGGATCTCCCTGGAGACTCAGTGCGTGCCCCCCTACCCCAGTCATTGGTCCGTCTCTCCCAGCTGAGGGCCTGGGCCCAGCCCGGAGGGGTCAGCTCAGGACAGGGCCCACGTGGGCAAGCAGCACTGGGGGCACCTTCAGGCCAAGAGCCAGTCGGACCCATTCCAGGAGTAACGGGAAGGGACTTCTGTGTAGAGCCACACTATACTCTTCCTGGAACCTAGGCTGCCTCTGACCCCTGCCCTTTTCAGCCTGAAGCTGGCCAATGACGACAAGGAGCAGAAACTGGCGCTCCTCGAAGAGGCTCGGGTGGCCATGGGCAAGGAGGCCGGGGACCTGCGGGCCGGGCTGCAGGAGGTGGAGCGCTCTCGGCTGGAGGCTCGGAGGGAGCTGCAGGAGCTCCGGCGGCAGGTACCCTCCGCAGCGCGGCACCCTCCCCGGGCACTTGCTGTCTGCCCCTGGGCCAGGAGCACCTCCTTTCTGGAGCCAAGGGCCCTCCATATGTAAAACCAGGGGCTGAAACTATAATACTGCAAGTTTTTTTTTTTTTTTAATATATTTTATTGATTTTTTACAGAGAGGAAGGGAGAGAGATAGAGAGTTAGAAACATCGATGAGAGAGAAACATCGATCAGCTGCCTCCTGCACATCTCCCACTGGGGATGTGCCCGCAACCCAGGTACATGCCCTTGACCGGAATCGAACCTGAGACCCTTCGGTCCGCAGGCCGACGCTCTATCCACTGAGCCAAACCGGTTTCGGCACCCTGATTTTATTTATGTCTCTCACCTTTGCTTTCCCGCCATCCCCCACAGCAACAGTAACTTGCTCCAGGCTTACTTTGCTCTAGTGCAGTGGTTCTCAACCTTCCTAATGCCACGACCCTTTAATACAGTTCCTCATGTTGTGGTGACCCCCAACCATAAAATTATTTTTGTTGCTACTTCATAACTGTAATTTTGCTACTGTTATGAATCGTAATGTAAATATCTGATATGCAGGATGTATTTTCATTGTTACAAATTGAACATAATTAAAGCATAGTGATTAATCACAAAAACAGTATGTAATTATATATGTGTTTTCTGATGGTCTTAGGCGACCCCTGTGAAAGGGTCGTTCGACCCCCAAAGGGGTCGTGACCCACAGGTTGAGAACTGCTGCTCTAGTGTCTAGGAGATCTGTCTGCCGCCAGAACTACAATTCCCAGCATTCCTGGTGCTCCCCGTGCTCTGGGCTT